CCCCCACTCTTAGCACCCCCCTCTCCCCCCCACTCTTAGCATCCCCCATCTCTCTCACCCCCACCACTCTTAGCATCCCTCTCTGCCCCACCCTCCTCACTCCTAGCATCCCCTTCTCTCCCCCACCCCCAACACTCTTAACTTGAGAAAGGTTTTGCAAGGACTGTGGAAAGCCTCAGAGACATATTGCTGCCTTGGTGTTGCTATGGAGACAGCAACAGTTTCTAAGACAAAGCCCTTCCTTCCGCCTCCTGTGAAACCTGGTCTTTCTCAATGCTCATCCTAAGAGATGCTTAGTGAAAACTGGCATTTTCAGTATCTTTTATTCTCAGGGAGCTCCCTCCACCCAGGAGTGAGATGGAAGGATCCCCCACGTGGCATCTCCTGCCCCCACGTCTGGGGGGGGGAGGCGGGGAACACAGAAGTTCAGGGGCGGCACAGCAGCCCATCTCCGGTCACAAGTCCGCCTCTAGTCCCTGCTCCCCTGCCTGGGCTCCCTGCTCCGCGTCTCTGTCTGGAAGGCGTGCCCTCCCAACCCTTCTCTTCTCCTCAAGGCTGAGCTCAGATGTCTGTGGAGGGAATGAGCCCTTGCACAGTCTAAATGCAAAAAGGTAAAGGGTCAGGGATGAGGGCTCAGAGCAGGCACCAACAGCTCCTTTTTCTGCCCAGGGCACCCCTCTTCTGTCAGTTGCCAGAGGGATCACCCACAGTTGTTTGGGGCCCACACTCCTGGCCCAACAACTAAGGGAACCAGACGGGTGAAAGGGCCTCTGGTGGGAGTTTTCACAAGACCTCAGCCAGGAGTCTGATTTTAGCTCTCTCCAGAGGTATTCAGAGTTGAAAGCTGAGTATGGGCCTCAAGCAAAGTTTAGAATGGGAATTGTGTCTCTTCATCCACAGAGGACAAGATGATTGGATGGCATCACCAACTCCATAGACCTGAGTTTGAACAAGCTACAGGAGATGGTGAAGGAGGGGGAAGCCGGGCGCTCTGCAGTCCGTGGGGTCACAAAGAGTCGAACACGACTGAGAGAATGAACAATAAATTCACCTCAGAAACAAAAGCAGAAACTTGAGCTTGTCATGGAAGATTCTGGGTAGCAGGGTCCTCCAGGACCACCAGCAGCTGGCAATTCCTCCCACAGCTGGGCAAGGCCAAGGAGGCCAGTGCCCCCTCCTGGAGGCTTGTCCCGTATCCAGCCTTGGGCTCCCCCAGGGCTCACCTCATGATAAAGTTGTGCCCGTCCACGTCTGGCCCGTAGCCAGAGCCCCGCAGGTTGCCCGAGTTGCCCACCACGGCGCAGCGCCGGCACTGGCGGGGGTCCCGGAACCGGTAGGGGTTCTCGCCTGGCACTATCTGGAACAGCTTCTCCAGCACCTCGTTGGTATTGTGTGACTTGAACTGTGGCTGCAGCATCTGCGGAGGAGAGGGAGAAAAAAGAAAGGGGGGAGCAGGGAGGGTGGGGAGGGCGGAGTGAGCAGGAGGCAACCCCCGCCTGCTCCCCCTCGCTGCCCTCAGCCTGCAGGGTCCAAGCTGCCCAGGTCTCCTCCTGTCGTGGGGGGGAATCCCCCCTGAGCAGTGAGGGCCCTCCCGGAACTCAACAACAGAGCAGTGTCCAGACCAGCGCCCTGCTCTCAGGAGCAGCTCTGCGATCCTGGTCGGACTCAGGGGCCAAGGTGCTCTTCAGCCTGCTCTCTGGGAGTCTGCAGGCCTGTGCCACAAAGTGGAGAGGCCCCCGCTCTGCGGTCCTCTGGGGCAGCTGCTCTCCAGTCGTTCTGAATGCCCTTAATGAGGAAAGTCTCGGGGGAGCTTCAGGGACTCATTCCCAGTCAGCCTGCAGGGGGCGCCCCTGGGACTCAGCCCGAAGCTCCAGGCGCGATCCAGGGGAGACCTGGGGAAAAGGCAAAAGGGCACAGATATCCTCCAGAGTCAGAAGAGCTGGAGAGAAACCGGTCCCCGCCTCTCTCACCACCAGTGATTTTGAAGACTGTAGAATGAGGCCAGGGCAGCACTTAAAGGCCCACAGTGCCAGACAGGTAACACTCAGGAGTGAAGAGGCAGGTGGGCCCATAGCAGACAGGAGCCGCCATGAAAAAGGGCTGACTTCAGCCAATTGTTGCCTTGTGGGACTGTCAGAGGGACCAGATTTTCTAATTTTTCAAGAAAAGCTGAAAATACAGATCTCATGTGAAATATGCTGATTCCTAAACGATGGCAATTAAGGCAAACAGTTTTAGAACACCGAGCTGGACTCAACCCCTCTAAGGGCTTTACTGTGCTCTGTGGTCAGAGCCATAACACTGCAAGTTTGTGGCTCATAGGAGCTGCTTGGGGGCGAGACGCAGGAAGGGGATGGTGGGCCTGCTGCCCTGAGCACAGGAAGGGCCCCTGAGCACAAGAACAAGGACTCAGTGTGGAGAGGAAGCTTAGCTCTGAAATAAGAATTTCTAGGTTCACAGCAAAAGCAGGTGACTGTGGGGAGCAGCAGAGAAGTGGCTTCTAGGGCTTACACAGCTCTGAGTTTCATCCCTGTGGGCAGGGGGGCCTGGCCGGCCTCTCAGTCCATCGCTGCCCAGAGGCCGGTTCTGGCCCTTCGTGGCCACCTCTGAGACCTATGCCCTTGGGCAAGCCCTGCGCACTCTCCGAACCCTGATTTCCCCATAAAATGAAGGATGTGACTATGAGGAACAGGCAGGACCCTTCGAGGGCTCCGCGTTGTCACGGGAAGGGCCCGTGTGGCTCCTGGTAGATCCTGCCCTGTAAACTCCCCCTCCTTGGGGGCTCTGACAGTCTGGGCCAGGAGCAGGACCTGTGAGTTGCTGTGATAAGCCTGGTCGCAGGAGCTCATTCTCACAGCTGCTCTAAATGTGAGAAAGAGGGAGAGCTATCACCCTCCCCGTTTGCCAGCTGGGGAAACCGAGGAGCATGCAGTGTCTCCGCAGCCCTCAGCAGGGAGCGCCGGCAGCCTGCGGGGCCCTGGGTTGAGGTCTGACAGAGTCACAGCTGACATGTGTGGCGACCAGATGGCCCTGGAGGAGCCTGTGGAGTGACGCGCTAGAGATGGTGGGGGGTGGGGGGGAGCCAAAGCAGCAAAGAGGTGACAGGGTTCAGCAGAGTGGCTTCCTCTCCTCCCCTCCCCTCAGCCCCCAAAGGATCCATGATGCTTTCATATCCTAACCCAGAAGAAAACCTTTTCTAGCAAGTGGAGAGAACCAAGTGAATGGAACGGTGTCTCAAATTATTTGGGGCAAACATTTACAAATGAGGAAGCAGCCAGCATCGCAATAAGCACTGGAGCCGAGTGGCCGCCTGTTTTCTGAAGGGCAGGCCTTCCTGTTGCCATGGCCTCACTTCTCAGCATCTTCTCCCCAGGGACCCGCCTCTCCTGTTCAGTTTGCCTCCTTGACCCAGCAGGCATTTCTGGTCTCTGTTTGGCCTCTACAAGCACTAGAAACGCGCGTGCTCTGCCCTTCACACTCTGTGCCCCTGGTGGCTGGCTCCGGTCCAGTGAAGGGTGCAAAGGGGGCCAGGAGGCAGACGGCCCAATCCCAGAGGGGACGCTCAGTGGGTCTCCTAAACAGACGGGGCAGACCCCAGGAGGGAGCAGCAAATGCCACGACTTTCTCACCATCCACCACCTCTGGACGTCGGGGGGCAGGTCCATGTTCTCCCGAGTCCAGACGGGGGAGATGTTGCTGTTAAAGTGGCTGTCGAACCACTCAGAGGCGCCGGTGTCGCCCATGCAGCGGCGACAGGCGCAGCTCTTGCCGGCCAGCCCCTCCTTGCTGAGGCGCTGCAGGCCAGCGTAGCCCGGAACCAGCTTCACCCGCGGGGCCCCGTCCAGGGCACCCGAGTCCAGGTAGGGCAGGGTGGCTGTGCTGTGGTGGGAGTAGGTGAAGAGCAGCGACATGACGAACACCAGTAGGAAGGCCATGGAGAGGAACCACACCCGCAGCGAGCACTTCATGGTGCGCGCCCCGGGAGCTGGGCCCTCAGGCCGGTGGCAGGCGGGCCTCACCGCGGCCACTGCTTCCCCAGCCCGCCGACAGGCCAGCTACAGAGCAGCCCGCGTTCTTTGGCACCTCGTGCAAAGGACATGCGGGCGGGTGCTGAGCTGGGACGGCAGCAGGGGCCCGCGCATGCGCCCCCAGCGCCTGGAGAGTCCGGCGGCAGCAGCGGCTCCTGTCCCGGCCGCCAGCCCCGCTCACGGCTTCATCAGCTCCGTCTGCCACTAACTGGGCCACAGAGGTTCTGCTGCTCCTCGAGCCGCGGCAAAGAGGAGGTCAGTCCATCCCAGCCCTCTAGTCCCTTGGGGTTGCTGGCTGCCAGCTCTGGGGGTCCCCCTCTTTGGCGGCTTGAAACGATCCAGTCTGGAGCATTCGGGGTCCTTGTGGTTCATGAGCAGATGCCGAGGCGGCCCCTCGTCCCCCGCAGCGGGGAAGCCCTTGAACCCCAGTCACAGCAGAGAGCACGTGGGCTTCCAGCAGCCAGAAAGTCATGAAGTCTTCCCGTCTCTGGGCCCAATGCCTCTGCCGGGGGAGAAAAGGGAACGAGCCCAATCTGGAGAGAAGAGACTTAGGAAGCTCTGCGGGTGCCGATAAACTCTTCAGGGACAAGGTCCTCCTGCCGTTGGATTCCTCCTTCCTACTTCCCCCGAGGCGCCAGCCTCTTCTCCTGATGGTCCTAGTTGTGGAGGGGTGGCCGAGCTCCAGCTCCTGCCGTGCGGTCCTTTGGGGCCTGCGATCACCGGCTCCTCAGAAGAGTGCTGCTTTGGGTGCCACCTGGGGCAACCGAGCGGGCGCTCTTGGTGCTGCTGGCCCAGGCTTGGAGGCTGCCCTGCCCATCCCCGCTTCCGAGGCCTCGGTCCTGCCCTGAGCGAGCAGTAATCCCCCGGCAGGTTCCCCTCACTTGTCAGGCACCAGGCTGCCGCAGCGTGGCTCTGAAATCAGAGAGGAAAAATAACGTGCAGGCAGATCCCACATGCACATATGCTGTCCCCCGGCCCCGCCCCCAAGGCCCAGAGTGAGCAGAGCTGGCGGAAGGAGACGCCCCGTTAACCAAAGGGCGGACAAAGGAGGGCTCCTCCCTCCCCGTGCAGACAGCACCGCGCTCTGCTCCTTAACTCGGGCATCACAGGACGAGAGCAGCCCGCCATCCTCACTACGAGCCAGAGGTGCAGGAGAGTGGAGTTTGATCCCTGGGTCGGGAAGAGCCCCTGGAGAAGGAAATGGCAATCCGCTCCCCTATTCTTGCCTGGAGAATCCAATGGACAGAAGAGCCGCGCGGGCTACAGTCCATAGGATCGTAAAAAGTCAAACACGACTGAGCAGCTAACACTTTGTTGATATTTCAACAACAAGGATGGAAAGTGATCTCCCTAGAGCCACAAAATGAGTACCTGCAAAAGCCAGGTTTAGGAAGCTCCTATTCCAGCTACAGGAGGTTAATTTCAGGTGAAACAAGAGAAAATGGCCCAGAGGAAAGATCACGGGGGACTGCAGATATGACCCCCCTGGCCTGGGTGCTCTGGACCCCTGAGAAGAGATAGAGCACCCCCACAGTGAGGGGTGCAGCCGGCTTGGGCCCTGGGATTGACCCTCCTCTCTCCCCAGCGTGGGCTACACAGATGAGGCGGTCCTGGGTTAGCCGGGTGAATCGTTCACACTCCGTCCAGCTCTGGTGTCAGCAGAGAACCTGACTGTGACAGGACACTGGGGCCACTGATCAGCCCTCTGGACAGCTGCCTTCATCTGCAGGCTATGGAATAAACGCCAGGGCCCCTGTGGGTACTCATAGCCTGAGGCCCCGGGCCAGTGCCGTGAAAAGAGGCGGCAGGGTGGCGTGTGGATCCGCCCGAAGGAAAGGAGCCCGAATTCACGCCACGTGCTCGGGAGCCAGGGTGAGAGTGAGGACAAGGCTGGGAGTGGAGCCCCAGGCCTGACTCCACACCATGGGGAGCAGTTAATCCCCATGGCCCACAAGTCTCCACCAGCTCCTCTCCAAATCCCGCCTGCCCTGGTTCTGACCTGGCCCCAGGCACAGCTGCTCACAGGAGCGCCACCTCAGCCAGCCCTCCCAGGTCCTTTGCTGCACAGAAGGCCTCTCGGTTCCACATTCAAGAACCGCTGCCACCCTCTCCATTCATGGCAGCTCAAATTTCTGGGGCCACGCCAAACCACAAAGCTATCAGGGAGCGGAACTAGCATGTTCCAATGAGGAGACATTATTCTAGGTGGGGAAACAATGGTTGCACACGTGAAGGACTTGCCTAAGGTCGTAGCCTCCTGAGTGGAACTGAGATTTAAGTTCAGTTCTACATGGTTCCAAAGCCTGAGACTGGCCAGTGTGTAGAAAGCAGCCCACGAGTTCCTTCAATGGTCCAGAGGCTCAGGGGTAAGAGATAAGGAGACACAGAAGCTGGCTTCCCAGGGTCCAGGGTGAAGCTTCGCCCACAGGCCTTACCGGGGCTCCCAGCTCTAAGCCCCAGGCCCAGCCACACTGGTCCAGCGTGCTCCTGCCCGAGGGTCTCCTGCACCCTCTCCAGGCACAGCAGCTGGGCGCGCGGTCTGTCAGTATCAACAGAAGTCTCCTTCTGTTGTCTCCTCAGGGCCTCCGAGTGCTCACACCCAACATCTAACAAAAAGAACTTGGGTTTGCAGGGTCCTGCTCCCAGCACCCGGTGAGCTGAGAGCCTGCCACGAGGCAACCCGCCCGGAGGTGGTGCCTTTCTAGAATGAGTAAGGGATGGGGCAAGGGGTCAGGCTGGGAGACCTTGTTTCTGGAGGGTGGCCCAGTGTGGCCCCTGAAGGCAGACTCCAGCCGAAGCCAGCACAGGAGGCTCCGAAGGCTCCCAGGCTGGGCCTGCAGTAACTCCTTGGAGTCCTAACGAAGCAGGCACCTGAGGTAACTGGCTGCTTGTCAGGGAGAGGAAAAGCCCAAGTTTCGTCACTGTGTTTAGGAAGAGCAGAGAAGCCAGTCACCAGCAAGAACCCTTGCTCTGCAAATCCCCAGGCTGGGCTGTGTGTGGGAGCTGGTGCTAAGGGCAACTGGGGGCACAGGGCACGGCCGTTGCTAAAGCAGCAAGAAACTTCCCGAGGTCATCGACAAGCGCTCCAAGTCCAGAAGTTGCATGGTTAAGCACCCCCATGACCTCCGGCTGCCACTGCCTAATTCTGATCTCTCCCCTTTCACAGCTGCTCTGGTCTTTCATGTTAAGCCCAGGCCAACCCCAGGGTCAAGAAGACAGGGGAAGGGCACACACTTGGGCACCAGCCCCTGCCTCTGGGGCACTCAGAAGGAAGGAGGCCAGTCTTCCAGGGCCGCCTGGATGGTGCTGGCTTGTTTATTCATTCAACAGATACTGAAGGAGCCAGGGAAGGTTCGGGGGCTAGTGTGGGACAGTCCATACGCGTCCTGTCCTCATGGATCTTCCAGTCCAGGGCAAATACAAACACATGGGGGTGCCGAATGCCACAACGGAAATGACAGGTGCCATGAGAGGGAGTAGAGGACATAGGAAGAAAAAGCCTGACCCATTAAAGCTGGGAGAGGGGCTTCCCTGCTGGTCCAGTGGCTGACTCCACGCTCCCAACACAGGAGGCCCAGGTTCAGTCCCTGCTCAGAGAACTAAGATCCCACACACAGCAAGAAGACTGAAGATCCTGTGTGCCATGCCACAACTAAGACCTGGCACTCAGTCATGTCTGACTCTGCGACCCCATGGACTGCAGAACGCCAGGCTCCTCTATCCATGGGATTCTCCAGGCAAGAACACTGGAGTGGGTTGCCATGCCCTCCTCCGGGGGTCTTTCCAACCCAGGGATCAAATCTAGGTCTCCCGCATTGCAGGTGGATTCTTTACCATCTGAGCCACCAGGGGAGCCCAAGACCTGGCACAGCCAAATAAATAAATAAGTATTAAATAAATGAACACGGCAAGAAGGGCAGGGAAACGGGGGAGAGTGTTGGAGAGGAAAGTATGAGGTGCCCAGTTATGATGGGCTTTGAAAGGATTAGGATTTATTATGAATCTAATGGGCGGCTTTAAGGGAGGGATGTGTCATGACCTGATTTATAATTTAAAATGGGCCCTTGGAGCAAATTTTTAAAAACAGTACCAAGAGTGGAGAGAGGATGCAGTGTATCAAGAACACTCAGTCACCACTGGTGAGAAAATAAATTGGTACAATGCTTGGGAGGCTAATCTGGCATTATTTTAAAAACGCGGACATGAATAGAATTTTTTTTTTTAAGAAAAATTTAAAAACATCTTTCTCACAGGAAATATGGCATGGGAACACACGTGATCAGACAGCATGAGAACATGAGAGATTAGAAAGTCTCCCTGTCTGTCCTGGTCTGATTTATTCTGTGATGCCCCAGGTGAGAAGACGTTTGGAGTAACTGCAGTCTTCCTCCGGTTTGGCTGGGAATGAAGTTTGTCACTCAAAGACTGGATATTTGGAATCAATGAGTTATAAAACTGGTGAGTCCAGCCTGCTTGTCCTATGAAGCTAATTTAAAGCTTAAGTTCATGAACTTCCCTGGCGTCTGGTCCAGTTAAGACTTTGCCTTCCAATGAAGGGGGTGTGGGTTCGATCCCTGGTTGGGGAGCTGAGATCTCATACGCTTCAAGGCCAAAAAAACCAAAACATAAAACAGACAAAATATTGTAACAAATTCAATAAAGAGTTTAAAAATGGTCCACATCAAGAAATAAATAAATAAAGCTTAAGTTGAACCCTGACAGCTGTTTCATTTTCCCCTAAAATCTTGCCCCTACTTGGGACAATCTTATTTCTTCCACTGAGGTTTAATTCACAGACAATAAGATGTAGAAGCCTTTCGATGTAGAGCTTAATGCATGTTTACCCATGTGTGTGTGTGTAAGCACCCAGAATAAAATACAGTGCATTTCCACACACAGCCATTCCCCTCCCCCGCCCAGGGGGCTCTCTTGTGCCCCTTTCTGGTCATCATTCACCGCTCTACCATTCTGCTGAGTCCTGTCATCATACACTAGGTTTACTTGAGTCTTGAACTTCATATAAACACTCCTGCCTGGCTGGCTTCTTTTGCTAACACAGTGTTTTGGAGATTCATCCATGTTGTATGTATCAGTAGTTTATTCTTATCCATGTTTGGACAGTGAGTTGTTTGCAATTTTTGGTTGCTATGAGTAAAGCAGCCTTGACCTTTCTGTACAAGTCATTTTGTGGACACATAGTCTCACTTCTCTGGGGTAAATACCTGGGAGTGGAATTATAGAGTCATATAGTACATACACCAGTATGTTTAACCTTACCAGAAATTATCAAATAGCTTTTCAGAGTGGCTGTAGCATAAGTTTCCACCAGTAATGAATGAGAGTATCATTTGTTTCATGGCCTGAGTATCTTCTATCTTTTTTAGTTATCCTTGTGGTTGTGTAGTAAACTCTAGTATTTCTACCACCAGATACACGTGAACATATGTACCAAGAGACATACATAAATGCTTAAGGCAGCACTGGCTAATAGCTGAAAACTGTCAACAACCCAAATGCCCATCAGAATAGGATGGATAAATTGTGGTCCATTCATGTCATATGGTAAACATGAATGAACTCCAGTTTCAGAAATAAACAGGGATGAATATGACCAAAAGGCTCTTATGCTGAGCAAAAAGAATAAGTCAGGGATACTTATTGTGTGAATTCATGAAAAGTTCAAAAGTATGCAACGCTAAGCAGTAAATTGTTTAAGCCTCTGTACAAAGATGATAAAACAACAGATAAAATCAGGGAAACACTGTAAAATTCAGGAAGTTTCCCTGGAGAGGAAGAAGAAAGGTAAGATAAGAAGGGCCTAAAAGAAAAGAAAAAAGAAGAAGAAGGGCCTATCAGGACGTTAGAAGTACTGGGAAATGTGTTACTCTTT